ATACCCAGCCCCACCTCCAAAGAAACCCTTAAAGTCACCCCTAAATTCAAAAATAACTCGGCCAACTGGAGCAACTAACCCAACATATAGCGAAATAGTACAAAACAACTTACCAACAAAAGACATCACAGACACACAAACAACGGAATCTTTCTTGCTAAAGTTAAATGAAACAATGCAAGCTGTTGTGAATCAGATGTTAATAGTCACAAAACTGCTAACAGAACTCACGTCCAAATTGACTTTACATTCCAACCACTAAATATATGTGTGTGGAATGCAAATGGCCTGTCAAATCACTCTGAGGAGTTAAAATTATTCCTAAAAATAAAAAAAATAGATGTTATGCTAATTTCAGAAACCCACTTTACAAGCAAAAGCTATTTCAAAATACAAGGGTACTCCCTGTACCACACTGTGCACCCAGATGGCAAAGCCCACGGTGGCGCTGCAATCCTGATAAAGGCAAATATCAAGCATCATGAGTCCTCACCCTACTCAAAGGAATATCTGCAAGCATCATCCATCGTGGTATCCAATTCAATCAACAAATTAACTTTGTCAGCCGTCTACTGTCCACCAAGACACACCATCAAAAATACTGAGTTTGCTGATTATTTCCGTTCTTTGGGGCCGAGATTTGTCGCTGGAGGTGATTGCAACGCCAAACACACGTACTAGGGTTCAAGGCTGATACTACCTCGCGGTCGTGAACTACTTAGATGCGTCCAAATGAACAACATGTATGTTCTCTCATCAGGCCATCCCACATGCTGGCCAACAGATCCCAAGAAAATACCAGATGTCATCGACTTTTGCGGAATTAAGGGAATAGCCAAAAATTATCTGTCCTGCCAAAGCTGTTTGGACTTATCATCGGATCACTCACCAATTATTATTATCCTGTCTACCACCTTAACAGCGGAGGAACCTAGGTGCAATCTACACAATCGTAGAACAAACTGGTCACTATTCCGGCACTTAATTGATACAGCATTGGTTGAACCAGCTAGACTAAAGACTGAGGATGACATAATTTATGCAGTCGAACACTTTACAAGGTCTCTGCAAGATGCTGCTTGGGATTCCACACCATTGGCAGGAAAAACTGGGGAAGATTTGCCCATAGCCCATCACCTTCTAGAGTCGGTAGCACAAAAGAGAAGACTGAGGAAACGGTGGCAACTATCACAATGCCTACAAGCGAAAAAGCTGTTTAATCATGCCATCAGGAAACTCAAGAATGCAACCACTCGAGATCGTAATTTGGCCTTTCAATTGCATCTGAGCGGTCTGGATGCCTCCGCATCATCAGACTACTCGCTGTGGAAAGCTACTAAGAAAATTAGAAGACCTACTAATGTCTCCCCAGCCTTGCGTGCACAGGACGGGAGATGGGCTCGTACTGATGCCGAAAAAGCAAACACTTTCTCTGTCCACCTACAATCCGTTTTCAAACCCCATCCAAATGAAGGTACACCCGAACATGAAAGAGAGGTATCTAACTACTTGGCGGAGGAAGACTCAAGCGCCGAAATAGTTGACGACATGCCCAATTTCAATAAAAATGAAGTGGTACGGGCTATAAAAAAGATTGACTCAAAGAAGGCCCCCGGTTTCGACCTCATCACTAGTAGGCTGCTGGCCGAACTGCCAGACTCTGGAATGACTATGCTCACGTCCATTTATAACAGCATGACAAGACTCAGATTTTTCCCTCCACAGTGGAAAGTAGCCAAAATAATAATGATCCCTAAGCCCGACAAGGCTCTGGAAGATCCTAAATCCTACAGACCTATCAGTCTACTACCGATTCCTTCGAAAGTTTACGAGTCGCTCCTATTAACTCGCATGTTACCAATAATTAAAACAAAACATCTGGTTCCAGACCATCAGTTTGGATTTCGTCATAGGCATGCTACTATCGAACAAATTCACAGACTTACAGTCGAAATACATAAAGCGTATGAAGCCAAAAAATACTGTACAGCCGTCTTTTTGGACATCTCGCAGGCCTTCGATCGGGTCTGGCACCAGGGTTTGCTTTACAAAATTAAAAAATCCATGCCCCATCACCCGTTTTGTATGATCAAAGCTTTCATAACTAATCGTCACTTTATGGTTCAGTGTGGAAACGAGATGACAAGCCTTTGCCCCATCCTAGCGGGGGTTCCACAGGGAAGTGTAATTGGTCCGATCCTCTACCTGCTCTACACCTCGGATTTACCCACCAGTGAAAAAATTACAACAGGTACTTTTGCTGATGACACAGCCATTTTGGCCACCTATAGTCAGCCAGAAATCGCAGCCAAACTACTACAAGAAGGTTTGAATAACATAGCCGACTGGCTAAAAAGGTGGCGGATCAAAGCTAATGAAAGCAAGTCGGTCAACGTTACTTTCACCCTGCGAAGAGAGCACTGTCCACCAGTGACGCTGAATGACGTAGAAGTCCCTCGGGCAGATCACGTGCGGTATCTTGGACTGTACCTCGATAAACGTCTTACCTGGAAGAAACACATTCTTACCAAGAGAAAACAGCTTGGTCTACAGCTGAGAAAACTTTACTGGCTCATTGGTTGTAAATCCCAGTTATCAAGGGAAAACAAACTTCTAGTATATAAAGCCATCCTCAAACCTGTGTGGACGTACGGCATACAACTATGGGGAACAGCCTCACACTCCAACGTAGAGATCTTACAACGTTTTCAAAACAAAATGCTGCGCATAGTTACTGGTGCCCCATGGTTTGTGACTAACGAACAACTGCACAACGATCTGAAGATGCCTACAATCAGGGAGGAAATAACTAGACACACTAAGGCATACAGGGACAGAATATCAAACCACCCAAATATATTGGCCCAACCGCTTATGGACAACAGTTTGAAAATCCGTAGGCTAAAGCTCAGAATCCCCCAGGATGTGCTGTGATAAGAGCACATTATAACTAGAACAGGGTACGGCATTGGCCGCATCCCTGCACACGACTTACAATTTATGCCCAATCTATCGCTTAATGTCCTGATAAAGAGACAGATTGCTGTATTAAAGATGAACAAAAAAAAAAAAAAAAAACTACATACATAGATTAATTCTCGATTGCCCCTTAAATTAAAACAAAAAGTACAGTCAAGCAAACTTACTAATTTTTACACAATTTAATTATTATTTTTGTTTTACTACTTTTTTTTAAGCCGTTAAGCAGAGGCGGCTTTTGGGGGTGGCGAGCAACCACCAACCACTTTTTGAGGTGCTGGTGTCCTGCGTTATTTTGCGCCCTTAGTCGGCTCTTACGACACCCACGGGATGAATTAGGGTAGTGACATTCCGTATTCTTAATCCGTCACTACACGGACTACCACGAACCAATACCGTACTAATTGGTTTTGATATTTAAAATAGGTGACCCTATCGAAAAAGGGGGAGTTAAGTGAAAATTGTACAAAGGGCACGTGTCACTACGTTTAAAAGGTGAAAGGCAAGGGGTGTAAGTAGGATCTAATAAAGTAGGTTTCTCACGATTTTATACTTAAGATCGATTAGCGACTGTCACATATAAAATAGGCCAAATTCTACTAATGCTGTATTACAGACTGCACTATGTGCACTATTATACAACACATGCAATAAGGATGGGACTGTGGGATTTTTATCAAAAAAACTTATTATGCAAGTAATTTAATGTTTAATTAAAACGTCATGATCAAGACAAAAGTAACAGCATCAAATATTTCAAAAATGAAAAACTTTGTTACAATAGTTGATAAAAATATGGTTGTCATTATAAATCTGATTAAACACAATTCATTCCATTTCATTTTGTATCAATATGTAAAATTATAACCAGTTATTAAAAGTGTGAGAGAAAGATGTTGCAGAGTACAACTAAACACAATCAATGCAATAGTTCATTTGTTTCGTTAAATTTAAACAAACCAATCAATGGACTTTTGCAATAAACGAACCATTATACTTGTAGTGAAACATCATTTAAACAATTACAGTGTAGATTAATTAGATGAAGGATTTATAAATTTTGATAATTATAAAAGTGATGAAATATTTTCGAATGTGTTATATATGCTAAATCTATACAAACCTGAGATAAACACGAAGTGTTCTTGCAAATTCAAACATTTTGTACTACATTGTATTTTGGTAAATATCATCATGCAGTAGCTCAATTGAAATATAAAATTAGTGAAGGGTAGATGATTGATAGATCAAACTATGGGTGTTTATTTGACACTACACATTTAAAATATTGAAATACACAAAGGTAGGCGCTTTTGTGTTTTTATTTAGAAGCAACACACATTGAGCCGTGAAATAAAAATTAGCAATTAATGGCACGTGATATCTCGATGCAAACATGCAAAAACGTATTAAATGTTTATGGTATATTTATTTTATGTACTTATATTCAATTAAAATCATGGTTTATAAAATCAATAATATGCTAACGTGCAGCAATTAATTCGTCTATTATTCATGTAAAATTGAATCAGTTAATAATTACGGCCTGTACTTGATACTGGAGATAGACAATACAGTACATTTTATTACTATCAACTAACTAGAAAATAATAAAAAAATATAGATGCTATATTATAAAAAAAGTAAATAAAAATAATAGCTCAGCAACACTGAATTTCCGATTTATCTAATCTTATAAATAGAACGGAAAAGACGTAAAAAAGTAAAATGTAGCTCAAGAACATAGAGATAGAATCCTAGAGCTCTTAACAAAATCTATTAATATATTTTAACCATCTATTGGTGTATTAATTTTACTTAATCTATTCAATTCCTATACTATAATGAGAAGCGTTCAAATATCGAGAAACACAAACGTTTTCACCCGACTAAGAACGCAATTTTATGTTTATTAAGCACTAATATCCTTGCAACATTAAGTCATCTCGCTTTTCACGTATTAATAAGGTAAATCAGAACATGAGCTAAACTTTAGTCACACGGGCCGGGCTATTTGCACGTCAGTTGCGCGCACCACTCGCCTCGGCGGCTACGGGTGTCTGCGGATTCTGTAACACAAAATTTAATTACTTAATTACGTTAATTACGTTATCAGTACATGTTCAGCTAAAATAAGTTTTTTATAACCTCACAATACGACTTGATTAGCAATTAGATTTTCATTTACCATAAGACAAATGAAAATTACTAATCAAACCTATGTACAAGTAATTTTATCAAAGGCTTGCTAGCCAAAAATGCGTATCCAAAGTACAATAATTTTTAATTACAGTAAGATGTTTAAGTGGCATTTATTACCGTAGTCTCGTCACGGCTAAGACCGGCCCACTGGACGAAGGAAGGTAAATCCCTCGTGGGCAGTTCTGCCGCTAGTGCCTTCACGCGTAAGTTGCGGTCGTCGGTTAGAAGCACTACTTCACGCACGCGGCGAACGCTCTTCGCCGACTCTCTTCCGTCATCGCCGCGAGTGTCTGCAAAGTTGGATTGAAAAATTGAAGGATCTGCATAAACATACGATACAAATATAAATTGCTTTAATAGACATGTGTAACAGACTATAATTTTCAAGCGACTTAACTGGGGTAGAAACCGACTAATCAATCCAGAAATATTCCGTTTGGTTTTTTACATAGCTTTTAAAATTAAGTTTACATATATCAGTTAACGTCATTGATTTATAATTTTGTTATCTTGATAAAGTACAAAGATAACGACTACGATGATATCAATAAAGTACAAACACACAGACTGTGACACAAAAAAATCATAGAAAATAATTATATAACAAGTTTACCTGTCAATAGAGTACCCCAGTGGCCGGATTTGTCTCTCGCAAATCGGAAAACCCGATTTTCAGAGGTCTGGTGTATATGTCGAATATCACAATTTTTACTTACCTCCAAGTCTATTTTTGAATCATAATTTTTAAAAGGCAAAACTAATGTTTTTGAGACTTGTTACTACTTATATGAATTTGTGTATGACAGAAAATGCCATGCAAAAAGTTTTTCAAAGTTATAGTTTATTATTATGGTCAGCCTCTCTAACAAATCGAAGGAAATCATTGAGGATAAAATTTGCCACTTTATATGTGCAAACCAATAAAAAATCTGAATAATTAAACAGCCTCAACCAAAAACAGGAATTCGATTAAATCAAACTATGTTTTTAAGCTAGTCTAACTTGTGCGTCAATTGATTAATATTGAAAAACTTACTTCAACGATATACATGACAGTGTCTAACGACAAAGGCGTAACAATACAGAGAAAAGACTTAACAGTAATGGCCCCAAATATTATTTAAAAACCAATCATCGGACGATGGAGAAGCTAATACTAGCCGTAGTGAAAAAAAATGGGAGTCAGCAACTAAGGACGATGTTATAATTTATCCGTCTCATTGCTATCAGATAATCGAGTTTGTCTCAGTGTTTTTAGCAATTTCTGAGTTAGTTATTTGCAATTTGTGTGAGCAGAGAATAACGTTTGCCGAAAGCGGCCATCGAGGTTTAGGATTCAAAATCGTTTTGTCGTGTTAATTCGGTAAACGAGAAATTCAATCCGGACCGTTACTTCACACCGGCTACGAAATCAACAGAAGAATTGTGTTCGTCATGAGGCTTTTGGGTTCGCACGAGAAGGCATTAATATTTTTTGTGGCCTTATGGATATATCTCAGGCATTGCAAAACCGACGTATGACCAAATCGTGCAACACGTCGAAAACAATGTTTGAGAGCGTCTGCAAAAAAGGCGTGGCAGCAACGTGGATATACTTCATTGTACGGTGTAACTACACTTATTGGGTACTACAGTGGCAAAGTGATCGATCTCGACGTTAAAAGCGGATATTGTCATACCTGTGCCATTAAGAAAAATATATTGAACGACGACGAGTTTGAAAATTGGTATGAAAACCATGCAAAAAATTGTTCTTCGAATCACGCAGGTTCGGCCGGGAAAATGGAAGTTGATTCGATGTTGGAAATGTTCTCAAGGTCCATCGAGAAATTTGGAGTAATGTATAGTAATTACATTTGCGACGGCGACACCAAAACATTTCTTGGCATCCTGAACGGCGACAAGTGCACAGTGACCAAAAACGAGTGCGTGGGACATGTACAAAAGCGCATGGGTACTCGTCTTCACAACAAGAGAAAACAAGAGAAGCTCGGTGGAAAGAAGCGGCTCACCGAGGCTTTGATAAAAAAATTAACAATTTATTACGGTCTGGCGATTCGAAGAAACTTGAATTCTGTAGAAGATATGAGAAATGCAATAATGGCGACACTTGATCATTATTGCTCTACAGATGAATTACCTCGCCACGACAAATGCCCGAAAGGCGTCGAAAGCTGGTGTGAGTGGCGCAAAGCTGAAGCGACAAACACCCTGGCTGCTTTTAAACATACACGTTTAATGAAATTGACGAACATGTCGAGAAGCACATTCGTCCTGTGTACGAGGAATTATCTAAGGACGATCTGCTAACGAGGTGTTTAGGTGGACACACACAAAATGCGAACGAGACGTTCAATTCCACTGTGTGGCGCATCGCACCTAAACACCTTAACTCAGGCATTAAAATCGTCGAGATTGCTGCTTACATCGCTGGAGGAATGTTCAATGAAGGCTACAGTGCAGTATTGAAAACCATGCAGTTACTAGATTTGATAATTAGACAGCAATGCAACAATTTCGTTAAGGGAGCCGACAAGGAGCGCGTCACCCGACAAAACAGACACGATTCATTTTCAAGTGAAGAGGCCATAAACAGCCCGCTGACTCGAACATCAGGGCGAAAACCAGTTTTTTAAAGAGTCTGAAGGGCAACAAGGGCAAGATTAGCATATTTTTGCGGTAAGTTCTTTATTAAGTAAGTTAAGTAAAAGGTGAGTTCTAAATTACAATTTTTTATATACGAAAAGTTTGACGCGCGATTTCTCGGTTTTTCATTTTTACGATTTTTCCTAATTGGCGGGAAAGATAGGAAAAAAATTTAACGTCCTATCGAAACGAGACAAAATTGATTGTATTCGGGATTAAATTCTCTTCTAGTCGAACCTAAAAAACCTTAAGAAAGTTATGATTAACCCACTTTTCTCTTTTTTGATTTTTTTTCTAAAAAAATGTTTTGAATTGATGAATTTCCCACTTTTTGTTAAATTTTCTTGGTTTAACTAGAAGCTATACTATTGAAAATTATTTTTTTGTTTGGGTTTTTTGTTTCAGATGGAAATTGCGACCTGCATCTTTCCCGTCACGCGATACATGCACGCTCGAGGAGCCTCAGCGAAATGCTTGTACCGGGCATAATATGACATATATTTTAATGAAAAAATTTGAGAAGACTGAAAAATTTGAAATATATAACAAAAAAACCTGAAAGTTTCGTTTTTTTTAAGCCTCTAAAGCAGGTTTCCCCGTTAAGAACCATAAATAAATAAATAAAGTTTTGAAAACGATTTCATAAATAATAAAAGTAGTCAAAACGGAGGTAAGGCGGGAGACTGACCGGCGTCGGCGGCGAGATTGGCGTGCAAGTTGAGCGCGGTGGCGAGCACGCGGTCGTCGTTGGTGCCGGCGGCCGCGTCGCTCTCGGCGGTGAAGGCGCGCGAGGCCAGCAGCGAGCCGCGCGACGTGGCCAGGCGCAGCGCCGCGCCCGCGCCGCCGCTCACCCAGCCCAGCGCCGCGCGCGCCGCGCCGCCCACGCGCGCGCACCGCCGCAGCCCCTCCAGCTCCGACATCACTGCACATACGCGATACTTCAAATAGTAGTAAACTAACTAACGCTCGCCCGATAACGATTTCCCGCTAAAACACTGTCGCATAACTAGCACCACACTTCGCTGCGTCACTAACCGATAACCTGATTTTTCTTTATAGAGGGTAGTTTAAAGTCAAAATTAAAACCATACCATATGATACCATCAGACAGAAGTCAGCTCGTTCGTCGATGAATGACACGGTGGGTCTAGCTGAGGTTTGTATTGACGTGATAATAGTTACAATTTTAGCTTTCTGTGACCAATTTAACTGATTTAGGTTTAAATGAAAAATTTTTTGGAACATCAAAATTTATGTTTAGAAGCCGTTTTGATCACCAATATTGGTATTACTTACCCACAACGGGTACTGCTAAAGTATACGGTTGCGCAGGCGCGACCGCCACGGCCTGCAGTAGCTCAAGATGATCGATGAAACAATTAGTATCGGGAACTAGCAGTCGTGGTCTGACCTCCACCTCCCCACCGACTGATCCTCCGCGTAAAATATCCTGCAGGCATAAACCAATAAATTTTGTTTTAATCCCGTAAGTAATTGTTTATTTTTTTATTGTATTCCTCGTTGTATTGACAGCTGACACTAATCCTGCTACATTGCCTCTACTCTTATTTAGCCTTTTAATGGAACAGTATTCTGAAACCCTTGATCAGATTGTGATGAAACTTTGCAGCAAAGTGAGTAAAATAAAACTTGTTTATGTAGCATAGCTAAGCATGCCGGGTTCAGATAGCATTTAATAATATAAGTAAAAAAAACAGCAAATTTTATAACTCAAAAGCGTCAGACATTTCATTCATATTTGATAGTAAAATAATTTCTGTACAGTTTAGATTTGAATTAACTTTAAAAAAGGAGCAATCTCAGTGAGTTTATTTTAAAAGACGATATTCATCAAAGGGAGTTGTGATCATTTTATTAAGTATAAGTGACACATGGTGTACAATACAAAATACCGCTTTGATGATTTACATTTAGAAAATCATTTATTACGTACGTGCATTCGCTGTCGATGTCTCTCTAACGTTGCTTTTCTCGTTTCAAGTTGTTCTTTACGTTTTAACAAGCTGCGGGTAGCTTCGTCGGGGCCTTCAATTTCAGCGCCTTCACTGTGGCTTGGAAGTCCGCTGGTGGCACCACTATTTTTGTCTTCACCTTCGGAGTCCTCAGACTACAAATAGAAATAACTTAAAATGTATATAGATATATCCAATCACAGAACAGTGCAATTTTTATAACAATGACCAGCTTTAATGTAATTAATTATTTAATGGAAACTTCTACGTGACCACCACAAAGTGGTAAAATATGGTAGAAAACACCAGCTTTATGAAAGCCGAATTAATGTAGTCGGATTAGCAGAGCCGAATAATATTAACGGGAACCTCTAGCTTACTGAAAACAACAGTTAAATGGCACTAACAATATTTTTTGTAACTGATGAACACAGTCGCAAGCCTACCATGGGCATATCTTGATAATTCTCCTTAATTATTGTGCACGATAATTATGTTTTACCCAATAAGCAAGTGTTAATACGTTACCAAATGTTGTAGTGGCGGATGGGTAGGCTGTACTCGTTGAACTGCGCTGACATAGCGCGGTGACGACTCCACCGGATACTCTAGTCGTAATACCGGTGGCTCCACGCCCACTAGGTACCTTTTTATTTAAAAAAAAACTGTAAATATTCTAACTTAATTAAATGTAAATGTATTCTAAATGTTGTAAATATTCTAACTTAATTAATTTTGATTCTTAATTTCATTTCTTGTATTGCAAATATACTTTCAAAAACATCTTCAAAAAAACCTTAAATGATAATTGAAGAATCCAGCTTGACTTATTTCTAATTACCACGTGTAAGACTGGGGGACATTTCTACTTAACATAAAATCGAAGTTAAAAAACCATCAGTACATAAGCGTTCTGTTTGTGATACTATATAATTAGGCAGGCAGACATACAATAATTGTATGGCACAGCGCTAAAGCGAAATATCATCTATTATTTAACATCAGTTTGAAAATTATGAAACCTTTATTTTTGATTTGGTATTGCTGCGGTTTTTTTTCAATAGTAGAAGTAAAGTCGCAGCTTCATTGGTGCCTATGGTCAATGTTTCGATTTCAAGGAATATTATGGCATATAACACTGCTATAGCAGAGGCCTATGTGCAGCAGTGGACTATTTAAACTTTTTCAAACGATACAGACGAGAGACGAAAAAAATGATTTCAAAGTGGGTAATTACGGCAGAAGACGTTGTAAGAAAAAACAGTTTTAGCGATGCCAGTGTTCAAGCAAAATATACTCTGGCTTTTTTAGCATAGATTTCTACGTTCTACGGACAATAGCGCAGTTGAACAAGTTATAGGATTTTTGCGAATGCACGCTTGTTACATTAAAAACACTTACTCGGTGCCAAAGAACAGCAATTTATTGATTCTTAGCGCATGTTCGGCGGCGTGATGAGGTGCGGTCGGATCTGCACGCACCCATCCTACGGCCGGCTCCATGTACATGAGTGGCGTAAAACCGCCCAACGACGCGTCTTCCGGTAACCGCACGCATACATACCCTGTCAACAAACTCTTGTTACTACATAGATAACGGGCTCTCTTGATATACATACATATCTCTTGATATATATAGTCACTTAATTTGTATTGTTCAAAAAATGCTTGTACTTGTGTAACAATTTATTCTTCTGCGTTCTCTCTCAAATTTTTGCAATGCCTGGAGAAGGCTTCTGAGTTGGGACTACTACATATAATATTATAAGATCATTGATGTACACTTGGTTGGCAAATAAAGATTTGATTTGATTTGATTTGATTTGATATATATATATATTCAACAAATTTATTTAAATAGTACCTTTAAGGACTATTTACTTAAAATATGAAGATAATAAAGTTCTTAAGTAGGTATATTTACTCCAAGGAATGCAATTTTACAATAAACTACCTCAAAATACAGTCTCATGTAACACGTTCTGGTAGAAGATAATATACCAACCTATCAAATGAAAAATTAATTATTTCAAATCTCACCTTCTTTCATTTCAGATTCGAATTTTATCGACTTGTCGCCGATAGATTCCAATATATTCATAAGCTTGGCAAGCCAGTCCCATGGGTCATTATCAGTGCTAAACAAGAAAAAAATACAAGAAATAAATTCAAAAAGTTAAAAATCGAATATGCCATTAAAGCAATAATAACACACTTACTCAATTTCAAAATTGTCAAACGTCGGCGGTGGATTCCAAACACTACTATGGCATAACATCCAGTCGGACCACACCTAAAATAGAATTACCATTAGGAAACGAACATATACTGAAATTAACCTACACATATGAATTAGTTGATCGTAGATTAAATTAGAATTCAATTGAATTAGTTTTTATTACAGTACTAAAGATTTAACATGAAATAATAATTACACGCCGCATAAGCGATACCATAAACTAAACGGTATGCTAAATCTAGCATACCGTTTAGTTTTATGACTGCAAAGTAGAAAATGTCAATTGACATTGGTGGGAATTTATTTAAAGGATTTGAAAAACATATCTTGAAAATTTTCTTTTTAAAACTATTATTACAAAATATCGAAAATTTTGTTTGTTTAATTAAAAAAACAAGTTTTGGAAAAACAACAGTGTTGAAAGCATGTTTGTCTGCTGAGAATTTGTTTTGTAATAATAATATTTTACTCATTATGTTTTACAATCAATGAATATAATATCATGCTTGTGAATATTCTAAAATTCACGACACATGTAACTTTCATAATGGATCGTTATAGGACGAACAGTTTTAAAATCTAAGTTTTATTTTCTTGAAGAGATTAGCATGTAAAATAGTTCATTATTATAATATGCTAAGTTACCTTTATAGCGGGCAAAAGAAGTAGTGCATCGGTGTGATGTTGCGACTGCGGCGCTTCGGGTAGCAGGGCGCAGCATCGCTCCACCATCGCACCGAACATTAGCAGCGAAACCCCTAGAGCGCATTCTAACCATGCCGATCGTTCGCCGCTATTGTTGCAATCTGTTCGCAGGAATAACATTTCCATTAGAGTGTAACCGTGACTGTTTAATTTAATGATCCCACTTCTACCATTAGTATAGACTGCCGGTACCTACGAAACATTTAGTCTTTATATTAAACTTCTTAAATCTGTTACGAGTCTGTCTAGCTGTTTTATTTAACCAACATGAGTACTTTTTTTAAATGGAGGGTATTGATGCACAGATTTTTCAGAAACTAACTCACACAATTGTTTTTTCCTGAACATTACTTAATTTTTATAAGATTTTTTTCTCCGCATGGTAAGTCTATTTGGTTTATCATTTATAAGGCTTTCATCATCATCATCATCAGCCTATCGCTGATGCTGGACTGCTGGACATAGGCCTCTCCCATTGCACGCCACTTAGATCGATTTTGGGCTTCTCGCATATAAGGCTTTGGTCTAATAAAACTCACTAGAACGAGTATTTATATTTGAGCTAAAGCAACATGAGGAATGAACATTCGACTTTATTTAAATAAATACTGCGGACAGATCCTCTCTTTAACAATCTAAAATCTTCTCCAATTTCTTTATATTCTATTAAAGTGGTTGCCCCTTTAGCCTAATTACGTGCATTTTTAATAGATATATTCAGAAATTCGGATGACTATTTAGTTTACTCTACTAACTTTTAAACTTGTAACTTTGATCAAGTCTATCCTCCTTCTATCTTCCTATAATGTAAATATTGTGTTATAATATTATCACAATTACAATAAACAATTTTCAAAATAGTATCTTACATCCATACAAATAAAAAAAATTGAAATGTATTTGTAATGACAAAATAATAGGTGTTTTTTCATGCTCACACGGTTATTTGCACATCCATGAATAAAAACCATTTTAAATATTTTTGTCTGTCTGTCAGTCGTTTGTTCCGGGTAATCTTCAAAACGGCTTTACCGATTTTGATAATATTTTACTACTAGGTAGCTGTCTATATAAGGAGTAACCTAGGCTATTTGTTCTCTCAGAACACCCCTATAAAATTTGGCCCGGTCCGGGTATCGAACTCACTAAGGCAGCACTTTTCAAATTCCACGCGAACGAAGTCGCGGGCACGAACTAATCCATAATAAAGAACAACTAATCAAATAGGTAGGTAATACCATCTTACTGTGATATACAGCCTTGGCCAAAAGTATTAGGCACCCTACATTTTACTTAAAATAAAGGAAAAAACAACTTATACTTTTTGAATTGATTTATTACCATTAAATTACACAAAAGAGAATGAAAAAAACTTAAAATCTAATCGGTCCACCTTTGGATTTCATTACTGCACTAATTCTAGCTGGCATGCTGCGTACAAGCTTAGTACAATTCTCCCTTGTAATGGCATGCCATTCTTGTACTAACGCATTTTTTAATGCCGTTTTCGATGTGATACTATGCTCTTTAATCTTGCGCTTCAAAATGCTCCAAAGATGTTAAAATGGGTTCAAATCTGGTGACTGCACTGGCCAATCAAACAAGTCAATGTTGTTTTCGGTAAACCAACGCATCGTAGTCGCTGACTTATGACAAGGTGCATTGTCTTGCTGGAATATAACACCCTTTAAGTTGGTATCGCCGAAAATACTCGTTAGCGAAGGCATCAGCGCAGTTTTAAGCACTTTTATGTACTTTTCGCTGTTCATACGACCTTCGCAAACAAACATTTCGCCAACCCCATCAGTAGCCATGCAGCCCCAGATCATTTTGCTGCCTCCTCCATGCTTTACTGTCGGTACGACGCAATCTAGATAGTATTCTTCGCCCACACGTCGCCTCACGAAGGTCACACCTGGCGTTCCAAATATCTGTTGAAAAAAGAAAAAAAACACTTTTTTTAAACTGCCTTAACTTTTATTATTTTAGTTAAATAAATAACTGACCATGATTATTAATAACAAAAGCAGTAAAATTAACTTACCTCAAAGTTATATTCGTCAGACCATACCACATTGGTCCAATCTTCCTCAGTAAAATGTTGATGCCGTAGAGCCCATTCAAGTCGTTTTCTTTTGTTGGCTTCTGAAAGCCAGGGCTTCTTCCTGACTTTGCATCCTTTTAAGCCTGCTTCTCCAAGTCTTCTTCTGGTGGACCGAGCACTTATTGGCTTTCCAGCCTCTTCGGACAAAGTAGCAGCAAGCTCTGATGATGTTTTCTTCCGATCTTTCATAGATTCGCGTATTAATTTTCTATCCTCGCGCTTCGAAGTCACACGTTTTCTGCCTGTTCTTGGTTTATTAGCGTGACTGCCAGTCTCAGCAAACCCTTTGATAGCAGATTGCATAGCGCAACGCGAACATTTCACTAACTTAGCAATTTCTTTTTGCGACTTCCCTTGTTCATGGAAAAGTTGTATTATTACTCGGTTTTCCAAACTAATTTCACTTCTTATCGGCATTTTTAAATAAATTACGCGTCAATTTAATCACTATATTAGAAATAAAAGCTTGTTTACTTGTTAGAGTCCTGAACAGTAGTGACCAAACATTGACTGATAAGAACGCATAAAAACAAATCCTTTGTTTTCAGTCACCAGGTGTTTTATGACCATAACAGATAGCTGCTTGCTTTTTTAGGAAGTTATTTGTGACCCCGGCATGCCATCTAAGATAAGCATTTATTCATTGTTCAATCAGTAAACATGAATTGTGCATTTTTCTGGGGTGCCTAATACTTTTGGCCAAGGCTGTATATACCACACACTATTAATACCTATTGAGTATTTCCTGTCTACTTATCCCCTATATAGCTAGAATGACAAGATTATAACGACTGTTTTATTTTTATGTTTTTCCTCATCGATGTCATATTGGAATAAGGCCAATCTCATGAATAGCATAAAAACAAGTCGTCATTGGATCATCCACCGTCAACTCATAGATCGCTAGAGGCCGGTCCGATATAAATAGCTGTCTAAAAATACACAACAGGGATTGTAAAACGTAAAACACCAACTATGCTGCTAAACAGGTGTCCGTTTAGCAGCATTTATTATTTAAGTGTTTAAATAAACTGAAATACCACTTGCATCAATTTGTTCTTTAAAATATATACACAGAAGCAAAGAAAAAAAAACAAGAAAATAAATTGATAACCACCTTATTGCTGTCGGTTAAAAATTACAATAAACATAACAAAATGATTATGACTAAGTCACTTTCGCGATGAAGTTAGCAATTTCACATTGACCAAATTTTTGAAACTTACAGTAACGTAAGTTCTTTATTGACACCTAAATTCCGACATATGACCTACAATAACATACCTACGTTACCGCGTGAAGTATGCAAATGTATTGTTTAATCAACTTGTGGTTGTACTACATGTACTACAAACACTATGAGTTAGTTTTACAATTTATAGTCTTAAATAGCGGCAAAATATGAAGCACTATAGGCAACATTGTAAGTAAACAGTTTCCTATTTCTCTCAAATATTTATCTTACGCCAAGCATATTTATCTTATATAAAAAATTCTCCTCCGAAACTGAACCGATTTTTATGAAATTTTGTGTTCACATCGGGTAGGTCTGAGAATCGGCCAACCGATTCAGGTGACCCCCCCCCGATTTTTTTTTTCAATATTACCTAGCAATAATGTATATGGCAAAAAACGTTTGCCGGGTCAGCTAGTAAGTAAATAAATACTTCTTGACTGCACGGATGGCGTAGTGGTTAAAGCGGTCGCCACGCCGCTCACTAATAGTGTGTGCTGTGGGTCCGATCCCCACATGGGACGACACTTTGTGTGATTCAGAAATTGATGTTCTGAGTCTGGGTGTTCTTTGTGTCCGTTTCATGTATGATTGTAAAGTCCCCAGCGACACAGGATTTATTCCTAGTGCGGGCGTTGTCTTTTGAAATAAAAGATGAAAAAACTTCATTAATCATTAAGAAACAAATCGCAGTTCACTTAGTGATGCGTCTCTTGACGCATTTGTTTTTTGAACATGGTTTATGTGGCACATAAAAGAGAAATACTCAACCAATGTTAATTTATAATAGCTGTATCCTGCCACGGTTTGCTGTTGCACATCGTAGTTGCAATAAATAGATAAAAACCAGCTTTGAAGCTTTGTATTTGTACATCGTGTCAAAATTTGAGCTCACTCGGTGCAGACCTTTTGAGTTTTTGAAGCGAACTACGTTATTATTGATATTTTAAGTCCAATTCTGATTTGTTTGTAACATTAAATAATCTTAACAACTTATATTAAATATAACAATACTTTAAAATATTTTACGTTTTCCAAATTATGCATACACACATTAACACTATTACCTTTTTGCAGCGGCTTCCCTAGTGAGAAATTTATTATTTCATGCCTCGAAAACGGTGTGATTAACCTGAAGAAACCGAAGAAGTAATTTGATCGGTTTTTAAATAAAAATATCATAACACCCAGTTTACCAAAACCATCCGTTTTGCATGCTTTACTTTGAACACATTGCAGTCTCCGATTTATTATTTAGCACCTAATATAACTGCAATTCCAAGATTCAGAGATTTATGAAACGATTACATTTACAATTACGATACAAAGGTAATCAAAATTTATATTATTAGGTTCTTACCTATATAATTGCCACTTTAAAAATGGCTATTTTACAATACTAAACATACATCTTGAAATCCAATTGTTTAATTATTTACACACGACTTCCTATTAAGTGATATCGATATTACCGTGACTGCAAAAGCCATAACTTATTGAATTGGGACACATAGGAGTAAATTCAGAAAAGTATAATAACTTTTCATAAACAGTTGATCTTAACGGACGAATTACTGCTTATGAGTTATGACGGACTTTGTCACCCACCATAATCACCAGCCTTTTCCTTAACTTTTCGCATTTTTAATAATTTATTCCACCTTAAAATCTCAAAATCTGATGAAAATTCTTATCGCAGACGTATCAATGAGCTTCTATTAAAATAAAAGGCTTACTTTTTCAATAATGACATGTATGTAAAT